CCCTAATCTGGAGTTCCGGGCCCTCATATTTATGTCCTCCAGGAACGGAGTGGCCCAATTATACTCCCAGGCACTGGGTTCGCTTTTCGTATGTATTCTTCCAAATAATGAGAATTCATTCCGTACCCCACAAGGAACACATTATGTCTTCGCTACAAAGCCCAACCGGTTAATGCTGTTTGGGGAAACAGTCGCTGTTTATTGTGAGAACCATACGGAACACACAAATACACTTCCAAATAATATATAAGAACTCGGTCCGCATCTCATAGAAAACACATTACCTCTCCGCTACAAAGCCCAACTGGTTAATGTTATTTGGGGGAAACAGTCGCTGCTTATTGAGAGAACCGTAGGGAATGTGAACAGAATGCAGTTTTACTAGTATGTTAAAGCAGGTGGTGGATATAAGTGACGAGTGGACTTATATATTAAGGGGTTAAAGAGGGGAGAGAAAGTGGGGGAGGTAGTGAGAGTCACTACCTATAAGGGTGGAATAAGAAACTTCTATATCCTCCGGTTCTGAAGGCTCCTAGGCGGTGCCTGCTCATTCTGGTGGATGTACTCGTATGTTTGAGATAGGGAAGCGAAACGGTATGAAGGCTGAAGGAGAGGAGTTGAGCCGGGCTGTTAGTGTTTCTGATAGGAGTTAATTTTTATATAAACGTTGGGAGGGCTGCATGTGATGTATACAGTGCAACTTGAAATTTGGGTACCATTCTTGTAGGACCGAGGAAAACCACAAATAACATGACCATGATCGAGATGGACCTTCCGGATGAAAATTGACTTTTAGCCAGCAGTCCGGCATTCAATAGGCGAACCCTACCGTCAGTCCTTGAACGATTTTATATAACACACATACATTGTGACGTGTATAAGTGACTGTAGACAGAATTTGGATTGTTAATAGGATTTACTGACTCCTTACACATCGTAACTAACTGCTCCTAATTCACACACACACACACACACACACACACACTGCAGTTCACTACAGCAAGCACTAACGTTTCTCTCAGTCTCCTGTGTCTTCACCAGCTCATGAAGGATCCAGTGTCTTCTGCTTCCATGCTCACGTTTGTTTTACACCCACGTAATCGCTACTTAGCCATTGCATAGTAACGGCCGTTGTTTACAGAGCCATTACTTAGCAACGGCGGTTGTATAGCTGCTTATCTGTCGTTGCCTAGCAACGGCTGTACATGCCGTATATTTATTTATTTGTGATTATTTGAGTATTCGGGAAATTTGAATATTTTGGGGGGAGACGTGTGTTTTATGAGGCTGAAATGCGTTCGAATTCATGTAAACATAAAATTCAATTTCCTGCCTACCACACAGTAAACAGATCCCGCCCCCATTACGAAGACCAACCACTTAATATTGTATAGGGGAATAACCGCTGTATGTTGTGAGAATCGTACGGAACATACGTACAAGTATACTGGTTGTATTTTTTTTCTTGATGTTGAATTACGTATGTGGTGCATATACGTAGTTACCACTGAGATGTAAATGGTTAGTGCGTTAGAATCATGACTGTATCCTTGTGTATAATAACGGAGGAAAGTAATTCGAGACTTTACATTTTACGTAAGTGTCTATAGTCTGATAATATGGGCCAGTGGCGGACTCTTGTGAAAGCAGTACGTATAATTGACCTTCAGGTCACTATACACTGAAGTGCCAAAAGTCATGGGATAGGTACCTAGTATCGTGTAGGACCCCCTCTAGCCCGGCGAAGTGCAGCAACTCGACGTGGCATCGATTCCACAAGTGGACAGAAGACCTCTGGAGAGATGTTGAGCCATGCCGTCTGGATAGCCGCCCACAGCTCCCTGATACTTGTAGGTGCAGGATTTTGGGTGCGAATGGACCTCTCCACCACGTCCCATAAATGCTCGATTGGGGTCGTGTCGGGCGAACATGGTGGCCACACCATTCGTCGGAACTCTCAAGAATGCTCCTTGAACCAACTCTGGACAACTCCGGCCCGATGACACGGTGAATTGTCCTGCTGGAATATCCCATCGTTGTGGGGATACATGAAGTCCCTGAAGGGCTGCAAATGGTCACCAAGCAGTGTAACGTAGCGGTCACCAGTCAATGACGTGTTTAGGTGGACGAGCGGACCCAACTCATGCCACGTGAACACACATATATATTGTAACGTGTATTGCCACTGAAGACGCCGTTCAGATTGTTAATTGGTTTATTTAACTACCTACAAGTCGTAACTACAAATACTTATAACACTATTATAGGTTTACACACTTACAAACCCTACACAATAGTCCCTTCACACTCTCTTCAGTATAACACACGTTCCATTCTTCTTCCCGCGACGTCTTCTTCACGTTCGCAATTCACTCGCTACAACTGAACCCGGCGACTGATAGACTTCAACTGTCTTCGGCCGCCGCTACATTTTAAATCTACTCCTTACGCATTCCAGTCTCCCTTATAAACCAGCGCGCTTCGGCTCTACTCGGCACGGCACGACATGGAGAAACACCGCTTTCCTTACTGTTGCGTAAGGGTCTGTCTTCGTGGTAACTCGTTCCACCTCCCGTTGCCCAGCAACGGTTAGACATGTTACAATATATATGAATTATGTCTACCGTCAACACAACAAAACTCAGTTTTAATTTCATCTCATACTGCTACACATTTCGGCCACGTAAGCCCACCATCAGGCAGTTATACACAGGAATGCGTTCAGTCATTGAAATGCCGATATGGATCGTTATCGGTGCAATACTGACACCAAACTTTTGCCTCAAGTTGATGTTACAATTAAAGTAAATAATATACATAAATAAGATAAAAAGATAAATATAAAGGTATATGACATATCAAAAATGTTTAAAAATATTAAAGGATTTCCGATGATAGGTTAAGAATTGTGTGCCAACTTAGATATTTAAAGTTTCACTGCTACAGTGTAGAAATTGGGCATGTATGTAGTCTGTAGATCTTATTTGTAGAAGCTTCCTACGCAGTAATCCCGGTTGTGGAGCCCAGAGACAAGTTAATTTGATGTACGTGTTGTTAGTGTGTGGATACTGGTACGCTATTCCCACGGTATGTAGCTTTATATAATTGTACAATATGGCGTATGTGTTCCTTGTCTGGGCGTGTATACGTTCGGTGTGTTCTACACTATGCCGTGGTTCGATGTAGCATCGCCAGGATTCTACCGCATGGAGTTGGCTACGGTAGGTAACGGTCAAGTTGTCTTTGTGCTTAAGTAAACCATGCCACGAAGATGTATGGGGGAATGGAGGTATAGCTTCACTCGGCACTATATTTTGTGGTTAGTTTCACGCCCCGTCGGTTTAACCCCTTGCACATCGGACATGGAGCCAGTCTGGATGTTGTGGAGAAGAGAAGAAACTCCTGTCTCTTCCGGCAGTCGAACCCCGATTCCTGGATCGTCCCTTCTCCACGCTAGTCACTATACTGACTGAGCTATCGTAAACCCCCTACATAAATAATCTATAGCACTACCAGATCGTCACGCTGAAGAGAGAGGTATCATTAAGGACGATAAATCTCCCAAGTTTCTTGCTGTAACATGGACGAAGCCAGCAGTGCTGGTCCAGGCCGGAAGTTACGTCGCGTCACAGGACGGAAGTGGGCATCCATGTGATCCATAACGGTCATTGCAGGAAGCATTTGTTTCCGTCTTGGTCGCGTCGGGCTCTGAGCACTGTGAAGAGAAACAATGCTGTTTGTCTGCTGCGTACGCCGCTCTAAAAGCCAGAACTCGCGTTAGCTCTTTCAGCCCTTGACATTCATCTAATTGCGAAAATATTGATTGTAACTTCACCTCCGTACAAGACCATTGAGTCATCCCAAACACCCACGCTACTGCTGGGTCCATTGTGCGCCGCTGCTTTCACCCTGACATGATTCCTCTTTCCGAAAGGCCCCGTAACATGGGTGTCGCCTGGGTGCACAGTGTTACCAGTCTGCACTGCTTCCTGTCCGAGTCCAGTTCCTCCGAGGATCCTGGTGTAGTTAGACTGGAATCACTTGATCCTTTCCTAGCTAAGCCGTGTGCAGGCTCACAGAATCCACGGACCCAGAGGGGTCTTACCAGGCACAGGGGTAAATTTCGCCAGGCGGGCTTTGGCGGTGAGTACCCCGCGTACACGTTCCATGCCAGCGTCAGCGTCAGGACGTTGTTGTTGTACGGTGATTTCGTATTCAGACCTCAGAGATTCGAGCAGGGGTTTGACCACATCTTCTGAAGTTCTGGAGTGGGTACATTAGCCGTGGTACGAGTTGCGGTGCTATTTCTATAACAGTTATATTGTAGCGTGTTACTACTACCGTTACTACGCAACGACCACAAGATAAACAAACATAGCAGAGCCATTTCTAGGTAGCGGCACCGTAAACATGTTCCCGCTGCAACGGATACGCATGCAACAATAGAGGTATTGTTTGAAAGGGTGTTTTCGGGTCTGTTTGCAAGGGATTTAAAGACGACAGTTAGGGCAACCAAGTCAGTTCTGAACGGGATGCTGTGAAGAGAGGACTTCAGCTTCACGCGCTCAGGTTCTATCTTCATAGCCTTCCGTGCAGAACTCGTTAACTTTGCCCCTTGGTTATAACATCTCGGAATCTACCGCATAAAGAACACCGTTCTTCTGTTGTTGCGTTCGTGTTCGTTGCCGCGGAAACATGTCGAACCGTTGTATAGAAATGGCCGCAGTGCGAAACACAGAAAACACCGTTCTTCTATTGTTATAGGGTTTACCTAGCAACGGCCGCTGTTTAAAGAGTCACCGCTTCGTAACTGGTCTATATGCCTCAATTTCGCTGAGCAAAGGACCGCAAGGGTTCAGTTGCAAAATAGTGGTCGTGAGCATCTAATGGCTTGGCACCAAAACGGACTGATTGACGGTAAACCGCCAGTCGTAAAATAAGTCTGACTCTGACTGAAAGCAAGTATTTCTGTAACAGACAGGTTATGTCCTTTGTTGCAGGGGAAACATCGGGCGAAGGCCCCCGGCAGAGGCGCGGTTTTTTCAGGAGCTTCTGGAAGCGCTCCCGCCACTACTCCTTGGAGCAGCAGTAGCTGTCCAGGACGTGCGTGTGCTGTGCAGCTGGCCACAGTACACTTGTACATTGCCTGCAGACCTGCAAGAAACCACGCTGTACAAGCCGTCAGCAAAAGCGACCACTGACGGTTCATTTATCTTATAAATGTTACTCAGTTAACACCAGCGTTTTTAGGTAGAACGGTTAATTCAGAGAAATAAAAAGTATAGATAAAGGCATAGTCTCAGGGCCGAACATAAAAAGCACATATAGATATATACAGAGCGATCCATTTTAAAGCGGGTTATAATGGCAGCATAGCTGTGCAAAACTCATATATGTATCTTGAGGCACAGTCATGTACATACATGTACTAAGAGCAGTGGAGGGCATTTTATATTTTGCGAATACTGAGATATGAGCTGCGGCACTCTATACTTATGCCTGGTTTCAAATGGATTACTGTATAAAACATACAAAGTTCAGAATGATTGTGGCCTCCGGCATCACAAATGGAAGCCATTTTATTATACGTATAATTTGCCATTGGTGAACGCCATATATAACAAACTCAAGGACTCATTTGATTGTCTATAAATCGTAAATGTACACTGCCATTCATAGCACTGAACCATATTGTGCATTTGGCCAGTCTGATGTAGAGAACATACAGGGTGATGCAGTTTAACTTGAAGCCTGACGGAAGATGCCGTGACAGACACTCGGTGTATGAGTTGTGAAATACAGTGTTTTCCACTTGGGAGACATTTCAAACGGATCACTCTGTATGGGTTTAGATAAATTTGATATGAAGTTGTAAATTAACCGATATTTTCTCTTTTTTAAACAATTTACTGTTGAGAACGCTGATACTCATTTACCGTTGGTATGAACTTACTTGTCAGATAATAAAATATTAGCAATTTCTACGTTAGTTTTATGTTATCGTGATGGGCCCTAGACTGTAATGAGAACTTGTTACTTACCTTCTGCTGGTGTAAGGTAATGACAATAGTTCTCCACGGTGTAAATTTATAAGTATATAATACCCTTTTTCATTTTCAACATTCCTAAGGAAAACACCCCACACTTGTATAAATAGTCCTAATGATTTAATTTCAAATAAAAATGGGTAAAATGTTTCAGTTATTAATATTGGTTATTAATTTTAAAAATATTAAATGCAAAGTAGCTAATTTATTAATGTATTTACAAAATAAAGAATAATCCGCAATTGCCATTATTAATTTCTGTTACAATTTCAAAATAATTATAGCACAAACTAATAATAAGAAATTAATGAGGGTAAAATAAAAATGTTTTCATTTAAAATGTTAGCAAGATTAAACATTTAATTTCCACATTATGGACCTGTAGGTGGGTACCAGTGTTTCGAAGGAACATACTATCTTCAGCTTCAGGGTAGAAATATAGGCAACATGTTCCTCCGGAGAGTTGATGCCCACCTCCCTGAATTTCTACCTTCGTGAAAACATCAGATCTTGCATCAAGTGCGATTACAACAGCTCAGTGTGTCTCACTCTTCGTTGTTTCTTTGGAATGTAGACGTGATTCTGCAGTTGAGAGCATTGACATGAAGAACTGTAGTAGGGCACTGCGTGTGCATAAAGCCACTGTGCAAGTTGAAAGTGTAATAACTCTGGACCACTGAATGACAGATCAAAAGAGACTGAAGGATATTATGCTGTGTTAAAAAGACATGAATTGCGCTGTTTACAGTTGACTTCTATTATGTGTAGATCCAAACCTTAGAGCTACAGATGACTTTTTGAACATCTTGTATTTTAATATCTGAGCAAATAGTTTACTGGCGGTTTACCGCCAATCAGTTCGTCTTGGCGCCAAGCCCCTTGAGCCTCACGGCCAGAATTTTTTTTCCTGTTGAACACTTGCGATCATAGTAGAGGACGGGTCTGTCGTTTACAATTGCTGCTGGCCCTCACCAGCGCCAGCGCATTCTCAGCTCCAAGTTCCCCATTTTACTGTCTCAGATTCGAGTCTCCCCAAACCTGGAGGTCAGGTCACCGTATTTATATCCCCCAGGAACAGGGTGGTCCAGTTATACCCTCAGGCACTGGGTTCCCTTTCCGTCGCCTTTAAGACTCGCCGGCTACGGTGGAGATGATTCGAACCCGCCTCCACAACCTGGTGGGTCAGTCTGCTATGCATTGACTCATAAATTCGAGGTGGACTGAATACAAAACACCGCCCCCCAACAGGTCCTCCACATTTTGTGTTCGTATTCGTTACCGCGCAGGCATGAACTGGTCGAGTTGAGTCTCATGTTACGACCGACGGTCAGTCGGCCAGTCCGCCCCGGAACAAAGCACCCATCTGGGACCCATGACCAGACTTCCACCAGTGTCAGAGAGTCGCGGGGAGAGTCCTCGGTGGCCATTGGATAGGAAGCTGGGTGGGCCCGAGAACCGCTTTGGACGACGTTGAGAGGAGAAAAGTCTTGCCCAAATCGGGACTCGAACTCCGACCCCTTGGTTAGAGTAGTATATGAGAAACTGCGTGCAATGCTTTTGCGCCAATTTTTGTAAGATACGTGTTGCGGTCTGCTGGGTTATGACACCGTGTAATCTGGTAGATGGGTACTGACTGCACCTATCTTCAGCATTCAGAATACCTGTGGAACATGTTAAGGGGGCGCAGAGCCTAGAAGTGAGTGTAACGAAACAACTGAAATCCTAACGAGGTCTTGACATAGGAGAAACTAGAGACTCCATTATAAGGCAACTGCAGTGCCTCGTGAAGCTGATGGTTGTGCACCGAGTAGCATGCGGGGTGCTGCAGCACATTTAAGATTTTCCGGTGCGAAGTAATTTGGTATGGTCCTGGAGTATTTATTGGATTTCGAGATTTTTCTTGTTTTATTCTCGTTTGAAATGTTTACAGATTATTACTCCTCTGTTGGATTTGAGGTTCTCACAGCGGTAAATATGAACACTGCTATCGTCTGGGGTTGTAATGCCGTGTAGTCTGGTGGAAAAACGCTCAGCCTCAATCTTGGATGCATGCTTGGCGTGCTATTGTACCCTGAACATGAAAGCGGCTTCTCCGAAACGTCGGTGAACACGCAAGAATATATCAGATCACATGCTAGAGCACTGTACTCTTTAATTTCTTTGTTTTACCGGAGCCCATTAAGTTTAAGCTGACAATACCATTTCTGATATATGAGCGTAAGTTAGGATCAAGAATAACTTTAAGCTGCGTCTTGAAGAAGTGCGGTTGGAAACATGGCACATTTCTGGACTAGCTGAACAACTATCAGGCTTCTGGAAAACCACGAAACCCCATAGGCTAACCAGTCACCGGGCCGATATTTGAACCCGGGACTTCCAAAAAGCAAAGCACGAGCACAATGTTCAGTCATATATAATTCCTCTGTTTAGTGTAGTATCTCTATTGTTAATTACCTCTGTCATCAAATAAACATGGGAGTAGTCAGGATAAGAGAAAAAGTGTGACTGACGCGAGATCCGTGGAGTTGGCATGGACACAGGAGCTCCTGCGAAGGCTGAGAGGGCATTTCCGCCGGATTTGGGGGCGTTCGCAGTGAAAACTTGCGAAAACTCTGCTGCATCACTTCGCCATGTCTGCCCACATGTAACAAGTCGAGAAAAGCTGAATGTATTTTCATTAAATCTGGTACTGGAGCGATGTACGCAGATTTCTTTTCGTATTCCAGTTTCACTTCAAATGAAGACCTACGCCCGCTGTTGTGTTCCGTGTGCAATTCCATTTTCTGGCGGTTTTCACGATATATACAGGGTGTCCCATGAGGAATGTGCCAGACTTCGGGAGGGTGTTCCTTGTGTTAGAGTATGCAGATATAACCCAAAACAACTATGTCCAAAGTTGAACGGTTACGGAGATAATGGCCAGAGAAGTGTGAAACTTTAACAGGTGTTACACACTTGTTGATTACCAAATACATATTAAAACTGGCGGGAATATGTGGTTTCCGTTATGTTAATAATGTACGTAACATCAAACTAACTTGTGGGTGACATGAAGCCATTAAATTGAACTACAAAAATACTCGCTCACCATGTCATAGTTGTCCTTAGGGTTCCACGCACTATACATGACACATGAATGGCAAGCGCTGACGTAACATGGCTGACTGCGCATTCTGGTATAAGCCGACTACATAACTGTACTAAACATACGATCACAGAAAATCTCTTTTGGAATTTCGTTACCATTATCTCATGAGGATTATTATGGGACCACGTATGCACATTTCGTAAATTATTTACACCGTCCCGGGTAAAAGACGCCTCATCACCGAGTAAAATGACGCTTAACAGTTCGGGATGAGCTTTTATCAAGTGGCAAAAATCCATACGCTGAGCATGGTCGCCTGGTTCCAGATGTTGTACCCTTTGATCATGGTAAGGATACAACTCTTCATCATGTAAAGTTCGCCACACCTGCATACGTGATACGCCGATGTGAGAGGCAATTGTACGAGTGGACAGACGCGAACTTCTCTGAACCATCTCAAGAACGTTCTCTCGTGTGTTTATCATTCGTACATCATCCCTTTCAGAGTGCACAGAAACACTCGGAAGAGAACCAGTATCACACGCAATGTCTGGTGAATTCGCGTAAATACACTTCGACATGTAATCCTTCGATGGGAAAAACGCATTTGGTATTCTTCAACAGCAGCACGTGCATTGCCACCGCAAAATGCATATCACAATATTCCACGTGTGAAAACACAAAAGGCATTTCAGCAACTCCCCACAATTAACCTACCACCCATTCAAAACGCGGCCGCAACGTATACTGAAGGGAGCACATAGGCTTACGGCTAGTGTGAATCACCACACTCAAGGACAAACATAGATAAGACTTCTCAGCTGACAGGTACAGTGCGTGGACCCGCCAGAAGACCACACTTTTCTGGGGCCATTATCTCCGTAACCGTTAAACTTTGGACATAGGTGTTTTGGGTTATATCGGCATACTTTAACATAAGGAACACCCTCACGAAGTCTGGCACATTCCTCCTGGGACACCCTGTATATTTTCTTATTGCTAATAGGGTGGGACTTAGTCCCTTGTACTGCGGCCACTTCTGGCCTATTGTATCAGCCCCAGATGATAGGTGAGGGTGATTATGGAGCAATTGGTGGAATGAAGATTGGCAGTGGAAACCGAAGTACTCGGACAAAACCTGCCCCAGCGCCACTTTGTTCACCACAAATCCCACTTAGCAGACCCCGGGATCGAACCCGAGCCGCCGCGGTGGGAAGCCAGCAATTAACCTCTTGAGCTATGGTGCGGCCCCGGTTTTCATGATAACTAAACAAACGAAAGCAAACTCGCCAGAATTGTTATGCTATGCATAAAAACTCCGTGGCCTGTAGTCTCCAAGCGAACTATAGCAACCGAGCGACCGCCGCTTGTCGGCGAAGTTAGTGCCAGCTTTAGTGGATAGAGGGTGTCGCGTGGTCAGGGCAACGAATCCCCATGTCCGTTAATCTCGGTTTTCTAGACCGGAGTCGCTATGCATTCATTCCCTAATTTGTTTTAATATTGTAACTCCACTGATCGGAGTCCTTCTTGCGAACCTGCTAGTTGCTCAGATGTTCAGTAAGTACCCCCACCATTCAAGCATTACCGTGTTCACAAGAACCTATGCTCAGCCAGTTGAATCCACTCACCATCCTGACATTAAATTTACGGCACTCAGAACAGACGCCCTTATATGACGTACCCAACTCGCTTCCATCTAAGAGTTGAAGGTTAAGAGAAAACGGATGTATACCTCCACCGCCCTTACCTTTCGTGGTGTCATGCACAGGTTTACGTTTGACACCGATAGTCTCGAGGGTGTTCTGAAAATATATTCATACTCATATTCCTTGACTCATAAGAACATGTGGATGTATACATTCACTCCCCCATATGCCTTCATGGCATTAGTTAAGCACAGGGACAGCTTTACCTTAATCCTTGACTCATGAACTATTTGCCTCCATCTGTTCAGTTTCATCTCTCATACATCATTCTCTACATCTTTCAGCTATCCGAACTTGGGTCTTCCCACTTTTCGTCTGGCATCTGGGTCGCTCTAACTGTAATCACAAGTTCTGTGCAGTCCTGCCG